GTTATATTGGCTCAATAAAGGCTTTAAAGAAGGAAAATAACAACAAACAAAAGGTTTTATTTTACACACTCTTATTTTCGGCCCGGGGCTAAAATAAGAGTAGGAAGAACTTTATTTTGGATATCAAAAGGAAATAAAATACTTTTGGATATTTGGGGTTGGGTTGGACGAAAAGAGGATTGGCCAGCAGAACCCCGAGGTCAAAAACGAAAGTTATTTGGCCTTCCGGGTTAAAGGACTTTGAATTGTTACTAAAATGGATCATAATGTTTGAACGTAAGTCCTTTGGTTCCCATGGGAGTGTGGGACATGGGGGAGGGTAGGATAGGGCCGGGCCGAGATATAACAGGAACCATTCTTACTTGTATCCTTGTCCCGCTTGCCAATCCGACAATCCTGCTTGAAGTGGCCTGGTTTCCCACAATTCCAACAACCCATTTTAGACTTTTTATTTGCAGGTTTGGGTGTATTTCCGGACTTGCGCTTTTTACCCTTAGACTTATTCTTTACTTTGGTGAAACCTTCGTCTTCGACCATGTTGATGGACGATGGACCGGCTATGTCCTTCACCTTCTTTCCCTCTTGATCTCGGATGGACTCCTCAATCCGAAGATGGGTTCCAAGTTGCACCAGATTCATTTCCTCCTTGTTATGCTTTAACTCGCGTTTGCATTCTTTCCACGAAGGAGGCAGTTTGTCTATAATACTAGACACAGATATGGATTCATCCATTGCCATGTTATGCTGTGCAAACTGGCCCAGGATCCTCAACAGTTCATTGTATTGTTCCATGACCGGTCGAGAGTTGACCATCTTGTAATTGTTAAAATTACTTATGAGGAACTTCTTGCTCGAAGCGTCCTCGGCCATGTACTTTTCTTCTAGACCGTCCCACAGTAACTTTGCAGATTCAACATTTTGATATACATCAAACAAAGAGTCAGACATACCGTTTAGAATATGTCCTCGACAAAAGTAGTCATCGTTCTGCCACTTGCACCGCTTCCTCGTCTGTTCTAGTGTTTCGTCATCCATGATCTGCGGCATAGGCGTGCTCAGTAAATACACGACCTTCAATGTTGTGAGAAGGAAGTGCATCTTCTTCTGCCATCGACGGAAGTCCTGGCCTTCGAACTTTTCTAACTTCGAGAACTTGCTGCTCAAATCTCTTACGGAATCGCCACACGTCATCTTTGAGTTCTTAACGAATAACTTTGATCTTTGTTGGAATTAGAGAAGAAGTAACACTGCGAAGCAGTGTTTATACGAAGAACTCGATAGAATAACGAATCGCGTACGAAACGCTTTCAGATCAAAGTTATTTCGGGGTATACGAAATACTTCAATCGGATAAGACGTTAATTCAGAACAAGCACTCGAAATCCTTATCTCAACCCATACCACGAGACTCTGTTTTATAGAGTCGAAAATTCTTGTGATCGGACATGAATGTTCGCGTACGTTCGCGCGAGGAAGAGGAAGGTGCGAGTTTTAACGAAAGGTCTCTTGCGGTTTAAGGCTTAATTTCGACGTTTATCCATTGTTCGAGTCCTTTAATGATTTGGACTCCGATCACGAAAATCTTAAGGATTTTCATAAAGAAATAACATCCGATGACGTACGCCCGGCCAGGGGCTCTGCCCCTTGGACCCCGCTAACTGGGGGCTGCCGCCCCCGGACCCCCGCAATGAATTTATAATATCGTTGAATGAGCGCGCACTCCGCGCCTCCTGACTCGTTTGACAACGTCTATTTAAATTCTTGTCCGATCGAAGTAAATCCAATTACACAAAATAAACCGATGACACTAAAATCACCAACAGCAGCCAGAGGGTTTCAAGGAAAAAGGAAAAGAGGACTATGTCTGCAGATTAAGGAAAGGCTTATATGGTTTAAAACAGGCACCAAGACAATGGTACAAGAAGTTCGAGTCTGTCATCTGGAAGCAAGGCTTCAAGAAGACAACTGCAGATCGATGTGTGTTTATCAAGAAATTCTCTGAAGATGATTTTATTATCCTTCTAATCTATGTAGATGACATGCTGATCATTGGAAGGGATATTTCCAAAATCAATGACGTAAAGAAGGACTTGAGTAAGTCTTTTGCCATGAAAGACTTAGGATCAGCAAAGCAGATTCTTGGCATGAGCATTATTCGTGATAGAGATGCCAAGAAGTTGTGGATATCTCAAGAGAAGTACATCGAAAAGGTACTTTAGAGGTTCAACATGGACAAGGCTAAAGCGGTTAGCTGCCCTCTTGCTAATCACTTTAGATTGAGTTCCAGTATGTGCCCTTCTACGGACAAAGAGAAGGAAGAGATGGTTAGAGTACCATATGCCTCAGCGGTTGGATGTTTGTGTATGCCATGGTGTGTACATGGCCAGATATTGCCCATTCCGTTGGAGTAGTGAGTCGTTTCCTTTCAAATCCTAGAAAGGAACATTGGGCTGCTGTCAAATGGATTTTCAGGTATCTTCGAGGTACATCCAAAATATGTTTATGTTTTGGAGAGGAAGAACCTGTGTTGGTTGGATACACAGATGCATATTTAGCTGGTGATGTAGACTCTAGAAAGTCTACATCAGGATACCTGATTACATTTGCAGGGGGAGCTGTGTCATGGCAGTCAAAGTTACAGAAATGTGTCGCACTATCTTCCACAGAATCGGAGTTTATAGCAGCAACAGAAGCGTGCAAAGAGATGTTATGGATGAAGGGGTTCTTAAAAGAACTCGGGGTGAAACAAAATAAGTTTGAGTTATTTTGTGACAGTCAAAGTGCCATCCATCTTTGCAAGAATGCCTCCTTTCATGCAAAGTCCAAGCATATTGATACGAGATATCGTTGGATTACGGATGCATTGGAGAAGAAGCTGCTAGAGCTGGAAAAGATTCATACAGATGAAAATGGATCTGTTGCCAAGGGAAAAGTTTGAATTTTGCCGATCAGTCGCTGGAATGACAGAACCCTCCATTTATCGGGAGGGGGAGAATTGTTGAGGTGGGTCCTTCTAAATGGAGGGCCCACATGCCATGCTTATCAATAAATAAAAAAAAAGAAGAATGGGGAAGTCGGCTAGAGAAGAGAAGAAAAACTCAAATTGAGTTTTGTTCTCTTTTTGACCAAATAAGTGGCAGTTTATCTCTTCACAATGGAAAAGGACTATGGCGGCTATTTGGCTAAGGATCAACTTGCATGAGGCGGCACAAATTGTGGCGGTGAAGTTTTGGCTTATAAAAGGAGATTTAGTCTCCTTTATTTGGCATTCTCTTCATTTTGGTTACATCCCAACCGTGAGAACTCAAGAGATAGATATTTACTCCATACCAAAACAAATGTTTTGTTTTGAAGAAAAATTGGGAGTGAGTGCTTAGGAAATGTTTTCCTAAAAGAAAAGTGAGTGAAAAAGTGTATGCCTACTATTTGTAATAGTAGAAGAAATTATACACTTGTACCTACTATTTGTAATAGTAGAAGAAGAAATAGAAGTGTTGTTTTGTGGACGTAGCCCAAAAGTTTTGGGTGAACCACGTTAAATTTCTGGTGTCCTACTTTGCTCTTTTATTTTTACCTCCATATTTTATTATCTTCCGTTGTGCAAACCCCAACATAAAAATTATGGTTTGCTTTATTGGGATGACGGAATAATGGGGAAATGATTTAAATTCCATGGGATTAGGTAAAGGCGTTCATTTTTTAGTGAAAATAAGCAGTCCGTTTATTGTTATTCATATCAAAATTGAGTGAAACTTGAATAATTGCTGGAGGACTAGAGCCCCACTCAACTGATTCAGTCATAAAATCTGATGGCCTAGCAAGAGTATGACCCAATCTGTTCCCAGAAGGTTCTAATGCAAAATTGTAAATGAAGTAAAAACTCTTAGAAGTGTTTTATATGGTGCATTTGGGAATAACATTTTTGATTAGCATTAGCATTTTGGATAAATTTTAACGGTACAGATTAATTTTAAAAATGCTAACACTAAACACTGTTGAAACACGGGCTTGTCACGTTTTCGTACTAAAGCCGTGTTCGTTTTTGTAACAGGTTTTGATAATGCCAAACCGCCGTGATCAAGACAAACATTGAGTATAAAAGGCAAAGAACGAAGATAAAGAACGAGAGCTAAAAGAGACCAAGAACGAAGACCGAAGTCTTTAGCTTTGTTGAGTCGGTCATAACTGTAATCAAGACTGACCCAACCCTCACGCATTGGCTCTTTAGGCTAAAATCTTTCACTGCATTTCTCACATCATAAAAATGTTTTTCAAACATGTTTAAAAAATTAAAAACATTTGGTGTTCGCCCAAACCAAAAACCAAGCCATCTGGCGTTCGGGTTTCAGAAACCGGCGTTCGGCATTTGGTTTTCGGCGTTGGTTTTTTGGCGTCCGAACCAACCAAGTGGTTTTCAACTTTTTATGATTGGTTTTCACTCTTTGGCATGTTTAAACGGTTCTCCAACAAAAACACCTTGAAAACCATCTTTCGCTTTTGGTCGTTTGACAAAAATCATTCAAAACGGCATAAACTTGGCTAGCCGTGGTTTTCAATCAAATGACGTGGTTTTTTAAAGTGTCTTACTTGATTTCTTAGCCAATTGCATCAAATAAGTGTTTTAAACACTTGGTTTTTATTTTGGAGAACTTTGAATTTTTCGGTCGGTTTTTGCATTAGTTGGCTAGGCCGTGGTTAAGCCAAAAACCATGGGTTCTTGACTAACCACCCACCCAGCGATGGGAAGATCTTCCCATCGATGGGTAAGCGGTCTCTTAGCCAAACCAATTTCCAGAACCATGCCAAGCAGCGATGGGAAGTTCTACCCATCGTTGTTCAAGCCTTGGTACAAAATTAACACAAGGCATAACCACCTTGCCCAGCGATGGTAAGGATAAACCATCAATGGGAAGGGATGACCGTTGTAGGTCATTTAAGGTTGATTCTTTCATTGTTTGGAAGTCAACCTCCCAACCAGCGATGGGAAGCTTGTACCCATCGATGGGTAGGTGACCGTTGACTTCAAATCTGAAGGAAAATTGGCTTACCAGCGATGGGTAAGTCCTAAACATCGATGGGAAGCCAATATTCAGCAGATCTCAAATCTTTTCAATCCCTTAAATCAAGCTAATCACCCCTTTAATGCATTGGTCCGTTGGAGCCTATTTTTGCACTATAAAAAGGGGTGTTTGGGTCTGCTTTTCTCATCAATTTACTTCACAACATCTATACTTTCATTGCATTGAACTATCATCATTTTCCATAGCTTTCTAGAGCCATTTTGTGTGAAGGTTGAGTTGTTCTTGAGCGTACTTAGTTTACTCATAATCTACTCTATAAGAGAGTCTCGTTCTTGAGTGTACTTGTGTTCTTAGACACGTTGAGAGATAGTATCTCTCTCGGTTGATTCAAAGGAAGGTCTGTTTCCTTTGAAGGATTCGTTGAGGTTCGTGTGTCTCAAACTCTCAAGTTGTAACGGTTTGTTAAGCACCCGTAAGCTTAACGAGATAGTAGTGTAGCTCGAGAGAGTCTCTCGGGAGGCTGGATTAGCCACAAGTTGTGGTGAACCATGGTAAAATTCGGTGTGCCTTTTACTCTTCTCTTTACTTCTCTTTTAATTCTTTAATTCCTGCGATTTCTCCGATCAAACGCTATTCACCCCCCCTCTAGCGTTGGTCTATTATTCTAACAATTGGTATCAGAGCCTAACTCGCGTCCAAACTTAACCGTTTGAGAGTAAAGCGATCATGGGTTCTTCTTCTAGAAATCTCTATGCAGGAATTGGAGAAGGTCAGTCTACGTCTAGGCCACCACTCTTTGATGAATTTGATGCCGAGGACATCAAAAAGGTGGTGAACTACGCCAAGGCTATCAATATGCTGTACTGTGCCGTCAATCCTGATGATTATCGCAAGATTTCTTGCTGCACCACTGCAAAAGAAATGTGGGTCAAACTGGAGGTCACATATAAAGGTACGGACCAAGTTCGGGAAGCCAAAATTGACTTCCTAACACAGGAGTACGAGATGTTCAGGATGAAGGAAGGCGAAAAGATCGATGACATGTTCGATCGGTTCTCAAAGATCATCAACGACCTTCATGCACTCAAGAGGACTTACACCAACAAGGATCTTGTGAGAAAAATCCTGCGAAGTCTCACACCCGAATGGAGATCAAAGGCAGATGCAATGTATGAATCCATCGGAGTCTCAAATGTCACCATCGACGGGCTAAGAGGTAATCTCAAAACTTATGAATCTACTATTCTAACCCCGTCTTTGGATGAACAAAAGAAGAAGGGAATAGCACTGAAAGCAACCAAGGAGACCGTGGAAGATGACTCAAGCGATGATGACAACGAGTTCGGACTCGTCATCAAGAAGTTCCACAAATTCATGAAGAAAGAATTTGAAAGGAAAGGAAGAAAGCACGACGGGCCCCCGAAGTGCTATGGTTGTGGTGAGATAGGCCACATCAAGCCAAGGTGTCCAAAAAGCAAAGGCGGCAAGGACAAACCTGGCTTCAAAAAGCAACGCGCCTACATCTCTTGGGGAGGCGACTCCGGGGATGAGTCAA